CACACAACCCTGGTGTCCTCTTCTGCCTCCTACTCTTGCTGTTACTCTCCATGTGACTTTGGCTAAATAACCTAACTTCTCTACCCAGCCTTAGTTTCCAGTTACGGAAAATAGGCAGTCATAGTTCCCTGCTCATAGCGTTACTGTGAGAATTAAATGAAGTGATTTATATCAAGACCGTAGCACAGAACAAATATCCAAGGCCTAGTAGTTGCTATATTGTAGTATTCTGAGAAAGCTGAGGGCTTCTGTCACTGTAAGGACTCTGGGATTATTTATGAAGCAGAGGAAATGTGCTGTGTTTGAAAACTCTAAGATAGCATTGTCAGCCAGGCATGGTGGAGCAGTCCTGTAGTCCCAGCTACTCAGAAGGTTGAGGTGGGAGAATCACTTCAGTCTGGGAAGTTGAGGCTGCAGTAAGCCGAGATCACACCACTGCACTCCAGACAGGTTGACAGACTGAGACCCTGTCTCAAAAAAGAAAAAAAAAGAGAAAGATAGCATTGTCCAATAGAAATATAATGCAAGGCCGGGCGCGGTGGCTCACACCTGTAATCGCAGCACTTTGGGAGGCTGAGGCAGGTGGATCACCTGAGGTCAGGAGTTCAAGACCAGCCTGGCCAACATGGTGAAACCCTGTCTCTACTAAAAATACAAAACTTGGTCGGGCGTGGTGGCCTGCGCCTGTAGTCCCAGGTACTCGGGAGGTTGAGACAGGAGAATTGCTTGAACCTGGGCAGCAGAGGTTGCGGTGAGCCGAGATCATGCCATCGCACTCTAGCCTGGGTGACTGAGCGAGGCTCCATCTCAAAAAAAAAAAAAAAGAAGAACATAAATATAATGATAATGCAAGCCACATATGTACTTTTACATTTGCCAAGAGCATGTTAAAAAGATAAAAAGTAGGCCAGCTGAGGTGGCTCATGCCTGTAATCCCAGCACTTTGGGAGGCCAAGGCAGGCAGATCACCTGAGGTCAGGAGCTCGAGACCAGCCTAACCAATATGGAGAAACCCCATCTCTATTAAAAATACAAAATTACCAGGCGTGGTGGTGCGTGCCTGTAATCCCAGCTACTCGGGAGGCTGAGGCAGGAGAATCGTTTGAACCCGGGAGGCGGAGGTTACAGTAAGCCAAGATCTCCCCATTGCACTCCAGCCTGGGCAACAAGAGCCAAACTCCATCTCAAAAAAAAAAAAAAAGATAAAATGTAAAAGTAAAATTAATTTTAATAATTTATTTAACTGAATATAACCAAAATATTATCATGTCAGCATGTAATCAATATTTTATAATTACTCATGAGCTATTTACTATTCTTTTTCTTGTATGACGTCTTTGGAATCTGGTGTGTGATTTACATTTATGGCACATTACAATTCCAACTGGCCACATTTCCAGTGCTCTGTAGCCACATGTGGCTAGTTGCTGCTCTACTCCCCAGCACAGATCTAAGGCAATCTGGCTCTCATCAGCCCTTTGGAGCTGGAAGAGACACAGCAAACAGGAGGCTGAGTGCAACCACAACCCACGCCCGCCTCTGCCGCCCCACCTATGAGCCTGAAAGGGCTTGGCCTCCTGCATATTCAGATTGAGGCCTCACTGAGCTGAATCTTTTGAGCTAGCAATTAAGGCCAAGGTGCCCTCAGAAAGCTGGGAACAGGCAGAACTGCAGATTTTCTGTAGTTCCAGATTTTCTTTTGAACTCCTTATTCCCATAACACTAAGGAGGGAACCTTGGCAGGTTCATTCCTGCAGCCCCAGTACCTATAGCAGGATCGACACCTAAGAGGAGTGGTTGATGCTTGTTCCACAGTAGTGGAACAGGATGTTAAATTTGCCGGACGTGGTGGCAGGCGCCTGTAGTCCCAGTTACTCAGGCGGCTGAGGCAGGAGAATGGTGTGAACCTGGGAGGCGGGAGCTTGCAGTGAGCCAAGATCGAGCCACTGCACTCCAGCCTGGGCAACAGAGGGAGACGCCATCTCAAAAAAAAAAAAAAAAAAAAAAGGAAGTTTCAGCTGACACATCAAGGAAAGGAGAAAGGAGGCACCAAGATAGAGGGAATAACCATATACAATTGCATCTCAAGAAACAAATGAGGCTGGGTGTGGTGGTTCATGCCTGTAATCCAAGCACTTTGGGAGGCCAGGGCAGGTGGATGACAAGGTCAGGAGTTCAAGACCAGCCTAGCCAACATGGTGAAACCCCATCTCTACTAAAAACACAAAAATTAGCCAGGTGTGGTGGTGGGTGCCTGTAATCCCAGCTACTCAGGAGGCTGAGGCATGAGAATCACTTGATCCCAGGAGGCAGAGGTTGCAGTGAGCCAAGATCACACCATTGCACTCTAGCCTGGGTGACAAGAGTGAAACTCCATCCAAAAAAAGAAAGAGAAAGAAAGAAAGAAAGAAAGAAAGAAAGAAAGAAAGAAAGAAAGAAAGAAAGAAAGAGAGAAAGAGAGAGAAAGAGAGAGAAAGAGAGAGAAAGAGAGAGAAAGAGAGAGAAAGAAAGAAAGAAAGAAAGAAAGAAAGAAAGAAAGAAAGAAAAGAAAGAAAAGAAAAGAAAGAAAATTTAAAATGCAGTAAAATTGTTGTTGTGATAGGCAAAAATTGGTTTGAGTATTGGCAGTTTTTGAAGGTTCCGTGATAAAATAGCAGCTGCCTTCCAAAGAAGGTGCTGGACCAGATGCAGAACTGAGGAAGGAGATAACTTAAAAGAAAAAGAGAGAAATAATCAGGATTAAACATCTCCCTAGCTTGGAGATGATGCGGGCTTCTTGCAAAAGCACCAGATGAGACGTCTCCCCTCTCCTTACCCTTTACTCCACCTGTTTTGATCCTGAAAGTATTGAGAGTGGGTAAATGGACAGAAAATTCCTATTGAAGAGAAACATATCTGGATACATGAAGAGAGAAGGCCCATGTCCCCACCCCAGCAGACAGCAGCCCATCCTGTACGTCGCCCCAGCTGGTGGAGAAATGTCTTACCTATGAAAGATCATTGAAAACATAATAATGCATTAGACTAACATTTAAACTTGTTGAATGGATTCAGCAGATCCGTAACTAATCCTGGTTTTTTTGTTTGTTTATTTGAGACAGAGTCTTGCTCTGTCACCCAGGCTTGAGTGCAGTGGTGTGATCTCAGCTCACTGCAACCTCTGCCTCCTGGGTTCAAGCGATTCTCCTGCCTCAGCCTGCCGAGTAGCTGGGATTACAGGCACATGCCACCATGCCTAGCTAATTTTTGTATTTGTAGTAGAGATGGGGTTTTACCATGTTGGTCAGGCTAGTCTCGAACTCCTGACCTCGTGATCCACCCACCTAGGCCTCCCAAAGTGCTGAGATTACAGACTTGAGCCACCATGCCCAGACTTTTTTTTTTTTTTTTTTTGAGATGGAGTCTCGCTCTGTCACCCAGGCTAGAGTGCAATGGTGCGATCTCAGCTCACTGCAACCTCCGCCTCCCGGGTTCAAGCACTACTCCTGCCTTAGCCTCCTGAGTAGCTGGGATTACAGGTGTGCACCACCACACCTGGCTAATTTTTTTGTTTCTAGTAGAGATGGGATTTCACCATATCGGCCAGGCTGGTCTCAAACTCCTGACCTTGTAATCCACCTGCCTCGGCCTCCCAAAGTGCTGGGATTACAGGCGTGAGCCACCACACCTGACCCTACTGGTGTATTATTAAAAAATAATAAAATAAAATTGTTGAATGGAAACTGTGTTTTCCATTTTTAGTGATTGCAAGACTTTTTATTACCTAAGAATGATCAGAAAAATTATAAGGCTTTCCCTGATATTTTTCTAGGGATAGGGGAGAGACACTTCCACTTAGCAAGTCTAAGCAGACATATCAGGAGTCCTGCTTTCAACCTACTGGTTGCAAAGGATTGGACTGTAGCTGAGAAGACAAGGTTCTACCACGGGAAGTCTGTGACCTCATAGTGGCTGAGAAATCCCCGGGGCCTGGAGCCCCTTCACCAGAAGAGGTGGAATCATGGCTGGCTGGACAGCGTCTTCCAAGGAGTTGGTGCCCAGAGTCTAGGTGAGAAGTCAGCAACTGACCATGCAAGACCTACGGGAGCTCCAGACGCATCTCCGCGCCAAGAGTGACCACCGTGCTGCAGATTTCGTTGTATCTGTCCATTCTCCTCCTCGGCTTCTTACTGCTCCTCTGTTACTGTGTCTTTCAGGAGTCCATTTGGGTGATGAGCACTCTCTGGGGGCGCTATGGGGGCATCTATGGAGTGTGGCAGCAGCATGCTGTGATAGAAAACAGGTAGATGGGCTGGGCCAGGTGGCTCACACCTGTAGTCCCAGCACTGGGGGAGGCCAAGGCAGGCAGATCACTTGAGGTCAGGAGTTTGTGACCAGCCTGACAAACATGGTAAAATCCCATCTCTACTAAAAATAGAAAAATTAGCCAGGCATAGTGGTGGGCACCTGTAATCCCAGCTACTCGGGAAGCTGAGGCACAAGAATCATATGAACCTGGGAGGCGGAGGTTACAGCAGGCCGAGATTGTGCCACTTCACTCCAGCCTGGGTAATAGAGCGAGACCTTGTATCAAAAAATAAAATAAATAAAATAATAAAAGTAAATTAAATTTAAAAATAAAATATAAAATAATAATAAAATAAAAATGAAGGAGCATCAGAGATGCTCGGGTCCCAATCCCCTCTGCCACGATCTAGCTCTGGGCCCTGCTCTTCATCTCAATTTACTCATCCCAAAAACAAAGCTGTGAGGGAAAGGAATTTCCACTATTGTTGTTGTCATTGTTCTTATAAATACAATCCTGATCTCTTCCAAAGCCAAGATTTTTTTCCTCTCTTTTACCAGCAGCGTGTTCCCTTTAATTCCCCAGCAGGGAAATTTGCCCGGGTTTGGAGAACAGGGTGGCCGTTGCTGGGCTCCGTGCTCACCAGGCTGCTCTTTCCCATGCTGGCCATTGGCATCTGCCTCCCGCCCTGTGTCATGCTGTGCTCTCTTTCTGTGTCTGCATTTGAAAGCGATCATCAGCTGCCTATTGATGCCTTGGTCATCGATAGTACAGGCAGTTGAACTGCAGAAAGCATTCTCCGTGTTTGGAAACGCTGATGCTTTTCTCACATTCGACTTCTCTTCTGTGAACACTCTCAAGCCTCTGGGGCATTGTGCGCTGTCATTTTGTTTGGCCTTTCTCAGCTTGACTTCTTGGCAAACATTAGGCTGTGTATATCCGGGACTATTTGTTCCCCAGGACGAGGTTAACTACTCAAGGGATGGCTGAGGCTCACAGAGCATGAGCCCTGCACAGAAGAGGTAACATTCACCAGCCAGGAGAATTGTACAAAAATTGGGTATAGATCCTGATTATGATAGGATTTCCAAAGAAAGATGGCTTCTTGGAGGTGGTATGCTTTGGTGGTTTTCTGTTTGTGTTTTGAGACATAGTCTTGCTCTGTTGCCCAGGCTGGAATGCAGTGGCATGATTAGAGCTCACTGCAGCCTCAACCTGTGGGGCTCAAGTGATCCTCCTGCCTCAGCCTCTGAAATAACTGGGACTACAAGCACATATCACCATACCTGGCTAATTAAAACAATTTTTTTTTGTAGAGATGAGGTCTCATTATGTTGTCCAGGTTGGTCTCCAACTCCTGGGCTCAAACGATTCTCCCACCTCAACCTCCCAAAGTGCTAAGATTGCAAGTGTGAGTCATCATGCGTGGACCTTGGTGGGTTTTTCTTTTTTTGGAGACGAGGTCTTGCTATGCTTCTTTGGCCTCAAGGGATCCTTCTGCCTCAGCCTTCCCAGTAGCTGGGACTACAGGTGCACACCAATGTGTCTGGCTCTTGGTGGATTTTTGAAGTACTCAAATAGGAGTCCTTTAAAGCTGCAATGGGAAGGCTCTTAAGGGTTGGGGGGAAGAAAGAGGAAGACTCTGAAGCTGAAGAGGAGGAAGGGATGGGGAGTGGACACCTGTGCTGGTATGTGGATAAGTTAGGAACCAGAGGGGGCAGTATCTCCCCATCTCATTGTGTGGCCTGTAATAGATGATCTTTAAATGTTGATGCAAAAGAAGAAAGGGAAATGTTCATTGTGGCAACAGGAGAGGGCTCACTTAATTCTGACATGTAAGAAAAATTCCTTGTGTCCGTCTGCTCTTGGCTCTGAGGGCTTAAAAAAAAAAATGAAAAAGGCTGGGCATGGGGCTCACACCTGTAATCCCAGCACTTTGGGAGGCTGAGGCAGGTGGATCATTTGAGGTCAGGAGTTCAAGACCAGCCTGGCCAAGATGGTGAAACCCCGTCTCTACTAAAAATACAAAAATTAGCTGGGCATGGTGGCGGGCGCCTGTAATCCCAGCTACTTGGGAGGCTGAGGCAGGAGAATCACTTGAACCCAGCAGGTGGAGATTGCAGTTAGCATGCCACACTGAACTCTAGCCTGGGCAACAGAGCAAGACTCTATCAAAAAAAAAAAAAAAAAAAAAAAAAGAAGGAAGGAAGGAAGGAAGAAAGAAAGAAAGAAAAAACAGGACAATTTAACTGATTCAAATAAAATAAAATTAGGGCGAGGCAGAGTGGCTCACGCCTACAATCTCAGCACTTTGGGAGGCTGAGGCAGGTGAATCATTTGAGGTTAGGAGTTCAAGACCAGCTTGGCCAAGATGGTGAAACCCCGTCTCTACTAAAAATACAAAAATTAGCTGGGTGTGGTGGCGGACGCCTGTAATCCCAGCTAATCGGGAGGCTGAAGCAGGAAAAATCACTCAAACCCAGGAGACGGAGGTTGCAGTGAGCTGAGATCACACCACTGCACTCCAGCCTGGGTGACAGAGCAAGACTTTGACTAAAAAAACAAAACAAATAAATTAATGAAATAACAAAAGCAGAAAATGAGCATAGGGCCAGGCCTGGTGGCCCACATCTGTAATCCCAGCATGAAAGTATATCAATAGGAAATGTATGTTGGTGTCGTGGAGCAACATCTCAAAAACCCTTGGAGGATGTTATGGACTAAATATGAGACCAAGGCAGGAAGATCATTTGAGACCAGGAGTTGGAGACCAACCTGGACAACATAGTATGACCCCATCTCTACAATTTTTTTTTTTAAATTAGCAGGGCCTGGTGGCATGCTCCTGTAGTCCCAGCTACTCAGGAGGCTGAGACAGGAGGATCGCTTGAGCCTGGGAGGTCGAGGCTGCAGTGAGCCATAATTTCACCACTGCACTGCAAGCTGGATGACAGAGCAAGACCCTGTTTCAAAAAAAAAAAAAAAAAAAAAAAGTTGGCAGACTTCAGTTGGAAAGTCTTGGTCCCAGTGCCCTTGAAGGGCAGGAGTGGTGCTTCTGCCCTGTGAATGCCTTCTGACCCCACCACTGGGGAGAGGTGGACACGAGAGTGGAAATCAGTTGCATCTATCAATGGTGACAGCTGGATGTGACCACCTGCAGGCTCCCTGACACCTACTCCTCCTTCCTTTACCTCTGTTGCAGCCCACCTTCCCACCCCTACCACACACCCTGCCATGCTGGATAGGGCCTGCCGGGTGAGCTTCCTCAGGAAGGAGTGGGGACTCGGCCAAGCATCCCATGAACGAGCAAAGCATAGACACCCTGAGGGGTGTGCAGCCTCAACAAGTCCTAACCCACACTCAAGACAAATTAGACAAGGGATCTTAGAGATGGGTGACTCCTCCAAGAGCTCCAGAAAGGGTGGAAGTGCCTATCCTTGGCCCAGAAGGTAATTTTGAGAATTGAGAGCTTGAGTGTCAAAGGTTGTAAAAATCAGGCCAGGCATGGTGGCTCACCCCTGTAATCCCAGCACTTGGGAGGCTGAGACAGGCGGATCACCCGAGGTTGGGAGTTCAAGACCAGCCTGGCCAATATGGTGCAATCTACTAAAAATACAAAAATTAGTCACCAGGTGTAATTCCAGCTACTCAGGAGGCTAAGGCAGGCAATCCCTTGAACCTGGGAGGCAGAGGTTGCAGTGAGCTGAGATCGCGCCGCTGCACTCCAGCCTGGGTGACAGAGCAAGACTCTGTCTCAAAAAAAAAAGTTTGTGGAGTTCAGAATAGCATTTCTCAGAAAGCCCCGCTACTGCTTGCAAATCTTTCTTTTTTTTTAATGACCCTGCACAGGTTTCACTGTCACAGGTTTAATTAAAGTCTTCTGCTTGATCTCAAGTAGCTTGGAGAAAAAATTCCTCAAAGTGTTGCCCTTCAGAGATATTTTCAAAGGCCTTTATTAGAAGGATCATCATTTAAGGATTAGATGGTATGACACAGGGTGACTCTGCTGCACCAGAGGAGAACACTCTAGGGAAAACACTTTCTCTCCTTTAAGTCAAGTGTCTTCTGTGTCATCGGCTTGCCCAAGCATCCCTGGCATCTCTGCTTCTCAACCATAGGCTATGATGTGAATGGTGCTCCCAGGAGTAGTGCAGTACACGACCTGCACAACTGTATGTGGCAGTCCTGCCTACCCTCAGTGGAAGCAGGATGGAGCTGTTCCCCTGGGTAAATGTGGCATATGTCCCTCACTATAAGCAAAAAACTAGAGCGAGTGTGAAGTCAGAAGTCCACCCAGAGAGAGAGGCAGAGGTGCAGGACAGGGATGGAATTCCAGTTCTGGTGTTCGTTGTTTTGGAGGCCCAGCTTGACCTCTGCCCTTCCCCTCGCTTGCTTACATACGTTTCCAATAATGTATTTTATTTTTGAAGCATAAGTTAGGTTTCTATCACCAACACATTCTATCTAAAAGCCCAAGTCTTTTCCTTAACTTGTCCTAAATGGCCAGTTATTAAGAAATTCCACTGAGGGTTTGGCTGTTGCATACAGCCTTGTGGGCATTTTGCTTATCCAGGTTGACTTTCCCATCTGTGACACTGGCCTACGTAGTGAGGGATTCCAGCAAACAGGGCAGCATGTTGAGTTCTTGAATAAGTGTGTTGTGACAGCCTTTGTTACAGAATTCAAAGAACAGTCTGTTCTCAATGACTGACCCTTTGTCTGCTGACGTCAAAAACAAAACAAGACTGCAGACACACTCTTGCCAATGATAGAAGGGATGCATGTTTGAAGCGGATTTTTTTCTATTTTTTTGCTTGGAGAGGTGGGTGTGTGGACACTAGGCTGGCCATGGTCCAAGCTGACCTATTTGCCGGCCGACCCCCGACTGGGCTGCCGTAACAAAGTGCCGTCATCAACTGGGTGGCTTATAAACAACAGAAATTTATTTCTCGCAGTTCTGGAGGCTAAAAGTCCAAGATCAAAGGCACCAGTAGATTTGGTAAACCAGGAAGTGGTGAGGGCCCACCTCCTGGTTTATAGACTGATGGCTGTCTTCTCACTGTGTCCTCAAATGGAAGCTGACGTTTCACAAATATTTTCTGGGTAAATGGATGGGTGGGTGAACTCATGGAAGGGGACGCTCCTTTAGATGAACGCTTGGATAAAGGGCGTTAGTAGAGGGACAGAATTGCAGCTGCGTCCGGCCAGGGGGCGCTGCAGGCACGTCTGCGCAGGTAGGGGCCAGGCGGAAGCACCGCTCTAGGCTGCGGCCGCGCCCCCAGCCGTATTTCCGCTGGCGCTGAGCACCAGAGAGAGAGTCTTGTGGCTGCGGTTTGCGGACTGCCATTCGCCCCCCTCCGCGAGGTTACCCCTGTACTCGCCGCCATCCATCCTGACGCCCGGGATGAGTCACTGAGGGGCAGCGCCCGAGGCGTGGTCTTCCCAAGAACCCCCGGTGGCCTCCCAAGGCCGGTGCTGTGTACCTCCTTCCTGACAAAAGGGGAAACTGAGGCCCCGATGGGCTGGGAAGAGCCGGCCGGACGTCAGGCCCAGCCCCTGGTGCAGTGCTCCGTCCCCTCCGCCGGGGTGGGCCCCTCAGGATTCGCGTGTCCTCGGGAAAGAGACTGGCGGGTGAGCCGCGCCCTCGGCCTTCGCTGGGCTGAGCCGACCCCATGCGGACGTCAGACCCCCGGTTCGCACAGTCTCTATGCGGGGAGGCTTAGTGCCCCTTGAGAAACGTGCAGCCCGGGGCCTTGCTCGCGGGCTGAGGGGCGCTAGAGACCTCGCGACTTTCACTCCCCGGACCCCGATCTCCGACTCCTGACTTTGGAAGCCCCCAAATCTGCTTGTCGGTTGCCTACAGAGTGTCAGTCATTGTGCCACCTCCTTGGAACCGTTAACTCATTTTCTCCTCAATAACCTGTAAAACCTCCACTTTACAGACCAATTGGCTGAGGTTTTAATAGAGGACGCCCAGGGCCCCAGAGGGGCGAATTCTAGACTCCTTTGCCAGGACCTTGTACTAAGCCCCTTCCCTACGCTTTTCCCTGCCTAGGCCTCGTGGGCTGTGCGGCTCTCCTGGAGACAGATGACAGCTCTCCCTTGGATGACTTTGCTGGTTCCGCACCAGCCAGAGTCCCCGTTTTTCCTGCAGCACCCTGATCTGCACTCCCTGAGGGGCTCCCACTGTCCGCGCGGTGAGGATGTCCCTGGGTAAGTGGTGCTGGTCATGAGCACCTTGGGGGACCCTTCAGATTCCCTTCTGGGGGACCCCAGCGGAGGGCATGGTCATGAATTCCGAGAACTGTCTGGCAAAGCCGGGTGCAGAGGAGAGCCTGGCTAAGTTCTTTCGTTCTCTTGAGCTTGACTTTCTGTAATGTAATGAAACTGCGAAAACTCTGTAAGGGGGACATCTTGCACGTTTTTCTTCCTTTTTGAACCCATGATGTCTGGCTACCCGTAGATACTTAATATTTGTGGGATGAATGAACAATGTAGCTTTTTTTTTTAACCAAAAATTAGTCTTCTGTGACTTTCTTGATGGGGGCAGATGAGATCTTTGTACTGCATTAGGTGGATAGCGCTCGGGTCCTTTGGGCTTGGCGCTTTGGCAATCTCCAGGCAGCTCATTTTGGCCTCTGTTACTGGATTGCCCTCTGCTCTTTCCTGTGCCTGCATTCGTAAGTGATCACGGGCTGCCCATGTCCTGGTCATTGGTAGTGCAGGCAGAGAAAATGTGGGAAAGGTTGTCGTGTTTGGAGGGTCCACATCTTCACCTTCCTGTCCTGGGAACTTTCCTACACTCCTGCTTCTCAAAGCTGCACACACCTGGGGCATCCAGGAGATTGGGGGCTGCCGTGGGTGTTATGTCATGATTAGAGCTTTCACTTCCTGCTCCCTGCTGTTGGGAACCAGATTAGGTGTGTTGCTTAAATTCCCTTGATGACCAGCAGAGTCACTGCCTCTCAGCCGCGGCACACTCCTGTAAACCTGATTTTGATCTCCTTTCAATCTTTCGCTGATTAACTACATATTGATCAGCGTTGGCCACCCTCACCCTGCCATAGACCATCCACTGTCTTCCTCTGTAGAGTTAACTATTTTCTCTTTTATGAGGAAATAGTGTGTTTGCTTAGGAATGTTTACTGTCTGGTAACTACTGTGCTAAGCCCTTTCCTGTTGCTTGCCATCGCTGCTGTGAGCAGGGACAAGCGGGGCGCTCACTCATGGCATCTTATCTGTTGCAGATAGTCCACTGTGTGCAGAGGCATGGGAATTGTCATGTCGGGAACATGCTAGACCTCAGTGTCCTTGAGGTAAGATCTCTGGTTCATTCTCTGGAATGTTGGTTGCTTGTATCTAGCACAGTCCTGTACATGTTCCCAGGGGCTTTGGGGTTGGTGTAGGGGAGTTGAGAGGTGAGATGAGAATGGCACTGTGGGTCCCCAGATCCGCTGTCCACCCAGCCAACCCACATCACCTCTGGCCCTTCATGTGCCTTTAGGACTTGCTGCTGGGCGGAAACCTCCAGAGTCCCACTTTGGTAATAAGAGGTCTCTGCCCTTTCTCCCTGGGCAGCAGGATGTTGTAATGGAAAATGGGTGGACCTAGGCTTCAGAGACTCTGGTCCTCTGGCTTTAAATCCCCTTCTGCCACTATCCCAGTCAAGGACTGATTCAGAACCTAATTTTCTTCATTTGGAAAATAATGTTCTGATAGAGGTGACTTTTGTGGTACTTGAGACCACATGATTCCTATCATTACCAACCAATATTTTCCCACTGTTTTTGCCCCATGTGACTTCTCTTTGATTCCTCCTGGCAGGGAAGTTCTATGGGGCTTTTACAGGAAAGCAGAGCCACTTTTGGGGTCCTGTGCTGGGCTGGATTGTTTTCCTGGACTGGACTTAGTCCACAGGCTGCTGGCATCTGTTTCTCCTCCTGCATCTCTCTCTGCCCTTGTATACACCTGCATTCAAAAATGATCACGGGCTGCCTGTGCTCTGGTCATCGATAACGCAGGGAGAGGAATTGCTGAAAGCCGTTTCCCGTGTTTGGAGGGTTCACACCTGTCCCTTTCAAATGCTGGCGCCTTCACACACTCCTTCTCTCCTGCCAGCACCTTCTGGTCTCAGGAGCATTGCAGGATGCTGTGTGAGTGAGTGATGGGAGACACTTTAGTGTGGCTTTTTTCAGCTTAGCCTCCTGTTATCAGAGAACAGTCTCTCTCAGTGTCAAGGTTTGGGTACTAGATGGTGAGAAAAGCCTGTGTGAATTTTTTTTTTAACAAATAAGTGTGATGTTGGGTGGCATACAGTCACTGCCTTAAGATTTTCAAAGAGAAGCAGCCTTTTGGAGGTGGTGGACCTGGGCAGGTCTTTCAAAGAGTGGGATGCGATGGGCAATAGAAAGGTATTCCAGGGAGGGGTAGCAACATGAGAAGGTCTTTGAGTCTGGGGTGAGCAAGAGTGAGACAGATGTGTAGGCAAGTAATGAGAGTATGGAGGGATGGCTGCTGGGGTGGTCCTTGGCTCCCAGCACGGCGAGGTGGGACATCTATGGGAGGGGCCCTGAGAGGTCTCTCCAGCTGTCTCTCTGCCAGTTGCACATCTGCTCGGTTGCCTGTCAAGACTCTTAGGACAGTTTTGCTAGACTCCTAAGTTTTTATTTTGACTATTCGTTGGGAGCATTGAGATTCCTTTTTGAGATGAGTTTGGTATGAAAGAAACTGGCAACTCATACCCGATTGATTAACTGGGGGCATTCCCATTGACATCAGCTTGAAGAAAGTTGGCAGAACACTGGCGACCAAGCACTTGCAGCCTCCTGCTCTGTGGCCCCCCCTCACTCCAGGGATGCCGCCTTGGGTCTGGAGACTGTTGGAGGAAACCCCAAGAGGTGCAGGCACTGAGCCTCTCGAGACAATGGGGTCCCAGCTTCCCTGAAGGGGTCTCCTCATGGTAAGTGAATGCCAAGAGGTTAAGTCGGCCTATGTTCCCCAGGTGGAAATTCCAAGCCGCTGGCTTCATTTGTCTTCTCTTTTAGATTGTTTGAGGGTTGATCACAGACCAAAAGTGATGAGTGATGTCACTCCATGACACATGGCCGGACCTTCTTGCCCCTATTGTCTCAGCACAACACTAATTGACTTTTCCCTCAGCGTGGGTGGGCAGAGGAAAAGCCCTGTAGCTCTGGTGACTTGGGATCCAGAGTCGAAGACCCTTCAGCTGGCTCTGCCCTGCCAGTGCCACAGAGTGCCATGGCCCAGGAAGACTGGTTTTCTTCCATCTAGGCCAGGCCATCCAGTGGCCATCCTCTGTGTCCTCCCGCCTGCTCCTGGTGTGACTTCTGAAAACCAATAATTTGTTCCTGTTGACTTTTTCTGTGCTATGGACCATTGTCCTCTCACGCACTCAATAAATCTTGAAACATGCCCTGCTGCTTGTTCTTTCATTTTTGTGTATTTGGTTTTTTTAATCAGTATCTCCGTGTGCCAGCAAGACTGGGTATAGAGACTACGTCACAAGGGCAGGTTTTCTGGTTCTCACTCATTAAGACTTTCCCCTTGACACACACCCAAGGCTTGACCTAGGGAATGTGAGATGGGACATGGGATTTGGACTGGGGTTGAACCATCATCCTAAGTGCATCTAGCGGTTGGAGGAGGGGTTCAGGCTTAGGAAAGAAGGGGAACTGTTAGGATGAAGTTGGCGGGGGAAACATTTGAGCCAGAGCTTTGGGAGAGAAGACTATGATGGGATGACTTAGGGATGGAGGCAGGGGCTGGAGTCCTTGAGGAATGTAAGAGTGCCCTGAGCTCAGGTGGTGGATTGCAGGTCAATGTAGGAGTTGGTTTTGAGCAGAGGAGAGAGTGGAATGTATGAGGAACAGCTGCCCTTGGAGAGCACTGGGGGTGCGGCAGGCAGTGCCAGCCGCTGGGGCTTCTGTTATCATGAGATAGATTTGGTCTTTGGGGATTCTCTTTGGTAGCAGCGATCGCAGTGATGTGCTCAGTGTGTATGTGTGTCACCACCGCACATATTACCCTGTCCTTGTTTTTCAGGTAAATTTCACACGCAAGAAAGCTCCCAAAGGCCATGGGAGAAAGTGGGGGGTCTGTTGGTCCCATTCCTTCAGTTGAAATAGAAATCACTGTGACTAAGCCAGGCGCGGTGGCCCCACGCCTGTAATCCTAGCACTTTGGGAGGCTGAGGCGGGTGAATCACTTGAGGTCAGGAGTTCAAGACCAGCCTGGCCAACATGGTGAAACCCTGTCTCTAATAAAAATACAAAAATTAGGCATGGTGGCAGGCACCTATATTCCCAGCTACTCAGGAGGCTGATGCAGGAGAATCACTTGAACCCGGTAGGTGGAGGTTGCAGTGAGCTGAGATTACACCACTGTACTCCAGCCTAGGCAACAGTGAGACTCTGTCTCAAAAAGAAAAAAAAAAACAAAAAAACAAAAAAAAGAAATCACTGTGACTAGGGTTGAGGGAAACCAGGCTTTCAGGCATCTCTGATGACCTCTGCCAGCAGGAGACATTCTTGGGGGCTGAAGAGTCCACTCTGCCAGCGATTTCTGGTAAGGGCCTTATTTCTGCATTGTCCCCCTCCTTATTCCTACCCGAGAACCACCTGACACCTCTGATTTGCTCTCTTGAAGATTCCCCCACCTGCTGCAACCCCTCTCTGTGGCCAGTTTTATCCAACTGTGGCTCTTGTCCTTTAGTGAGAAATGACCACATTTCCCCCACCAAAGAAAGGGAGTCAAAGTTCTCCCCTTTTCTGAGTCCACTATTTTTAGTGAAGTTTTACACTGGTTAGTATCTTGAATTGGTAGACCTGTCTTTCATTAGCAAACTACCCCGTCTCATTGCTAAGCAGGTTCCCGTCCGCTAATAGGACCAGTGTCTACACCCCACTCCCTTCTCCTTTAATCTCTCGTTGTCTTTCTTTCATGGTCTTCTTGACCCACTATCTCAATCCTGCAACCCGGGGGTCCCTTACACCCTGTTTAGTTTGTTCTATAGGAGGCAACAGTGATGGAGTACTGAAAAACACGGGAAGAGGCGAGACTGCCATGCAGTGGGGGAAGAGTGTCAGCTATAGAGATAGATCACTTACCGTGACCTGGCCCCCAGCATAAAAATTTCCTTACTAACCCAGACTGGTTGGTTTGTGGAGGGTTCCCTCATTTATCACTCTATTTTCATGCATCCTAGTGGTTGCAGGCTGGATGTGAAGGTCAGTGAACTAATATGTTAGAAGCTCTTAGCATAGCACTTGGCACACAGGAAGTGCTCAATAAAGGACAGTTCCTCTCAATCACTGGAACTTCCTTTCCAATTGTATGTCGTCCTCATCGCTGGCCCAGCCTCTTAGGTCTTTCTTCTCCTGCCCTCTGCCACCCTCGCCCGACCCTACCCTTGGCCTCTAGCCTAGACTTCCTATTCTCCAGAGGAGACAGCGAGGCTCTCCTCACTCTGCCTGTGGCCTGCCTGTCCACCCTTTTCTCACACAAGCACCCTAGGGCTCAGCCACCCTTCTGCTTAAGGTCCCTGCACATGTTATTTTTCCAGCCTATGTGCCTGGAATGCATCATTCGCTTCAAGCTCAGCTGACTCAGCTTGTGTCACTTTCTTCAGGAAGTCTTTGCCGGCGGAACCTCCACCCAGACTGGATTCCCCGCCCCTCCTTCCATTCATGTGAAATATCAGTTCTGTGCAGGCACAATTCTAGGAACTGGTAAACAAAACAGGCAAAAGAGCAAATCCCTGCTTTGTACTTACATTTTGGAGGACAAGGGCATATCATAAAGTACTAAAATGGGTAGAATGTTTGAGAAATGTTAAGGAAAAAAGTTATAAAGCAGGGAAACAAGATAGGAAGTTTGGGGACCAGCAGAGGGAGTGGCATTTTAAATTGACTAGATGGGAAGGCTTCCCCAAGGAGGTGCGATTTGACTAAAGTGAGGAGCTCTCGCTGCTGGGCGTTCACTGCAGCCTGTGCAAGCCGCCATCACCGCATGGACCATGGACAATAGGAAGCTTTTCCTTCGGATACCAGGCTCAGTGAAGTGGGGAGACAACAGGCATCTGAGGCCACTGCAATGCTGCTTCTGATTATGGACATTTCACCATGTTGTGAAGGTGGCAGCTGAATCAAGCCAGGATTAACTGGTCAGCACCTGGAAGGGTGTGTCTAGAGTCCAGGCTCTGCACCTGTCAGCTCCCCATCCCCCACACCTCCAACTGCAGCTCAGTGGTCTAGGTAAGCTCAGTCACCCAAGGACAGCCTTGATAGGCCTAACCCATCACCTTGGTCCAGGAACCATAGCAGTGATCACCGAGCCCTGCAGTGTTTCTGCTGGGAGAGTTCTGCATGTCAAGAGACTGAGTAATTGGTTGCAGAAACAGGAAGAGACAGAGTAACTAAGTCTTAACAGCAGCCTAGGAGCACAGAACATCGAGCTCCTGTTGCAAGTGAGCTCCTGTTGCAAGTTTCTAGAACTCATAGATGGAGAGTGAAATTTCAGTTTCCGAACCACGTTCGTGCTCCTCCAGGCATGACTGTCAGCAGTATTCTGACTTGCCATGAGGCCTGGGGGTCAGTTTTTTCTGAATTTTTACAAGGTGTGGCCATGTGACCAAGATTCCTCTTCCTTTTCTAAAAAAATTTTTTGTTTATTTTTTGAGACAGAGTCTTGCTCTGTCACCTAGGCTGGAGTGCAGTGGTGTGATCTCGGCTCACTGCAACCTCCACCTCCTGGGTTCAAATGATTCTTCTGCCTCAGCCTCCCAAGTGGCTGGGATTATAGGCGTGCACCCCCACACCCAGCTAATTTTTTGTAATTTTAGTAGAGATGGGGTTTCACCATATTGGCCAGGCTGGTCTCAAACTTCTGACTTCAAGTGATCCTCCCACCTCAGCCTCCCACAGTGTTGGGATTACAGGCATAAGCCACCATGCCCAGCCTGTTTTTAATTATTTTTTTATTTTAAGACAGGGTTTTACTCTATCACCCAGTCTGGAGTGCAGTGGCGCAATCTGGGCTCACTACAGCTTCAACTTCTTGGTCTCAAGCAATCCTCCTGCCTCACCCTCCTGAGTAGCTATAGGTGTGTGCCATCAGGCCAGGCTAGTTTTTGTTTTTTTGTTTTTTGTTTTTTTTTGTAGAGATAGGATTTTGCAATGTTTCCCAGGCTGCTCTTGAAATCCCAGTCTCAAGTGATCCTCCCAAATTGGCCTCCCAAAGTGGTGGTGGTACAGGCGTGAGCCACCACACATAGCCCTTTTTTTTTTTTTTTTTTTTTTTTGAGAGTCCTTACATTCACTACTACTGTGTCCATTACTAAAGGCAGCAGAATGAGTCTTTTCTCATTATAGTCAAAAAACTTACCAACATAATGCCTGACAAGTGGCAGGTGCTCAGTCAACATTTTGGGATAAGGAATGAGGCCGCAGATGCCTTGATAGTGTGCACCAGGAATGACTCATGCAGGCCCCTCTGCCTCTGTGGGTACAACTGATGACAGGTGGGCCTGGTGAAGTCATTAAGAATCTGATGTGGCTGGGCAAGGTGGCTTGTACTTGGAATCCCAGCTACCCAGGAGGCTGAGGTGGAAGGATCACCTGAGTCCAGGAGTTTGAGACCAACCTGGGCAATACAGCGAGACCCTGTCTCTAAAAAAAGAATTTTTTTAAATTAGCTGGGCACATTGGCACATGCATGTAGTCCCAGCTACTTGGGAGACTGAGGAGGGAGGATTCCTTGAGCCCAGTTCGAGGCTCCAGTGAGTTATGATCACACCACTGCACTCCAGTCTGGGCAACAGAGCAAGACCCTGTCTCTTAAAGAAAAAACAAAAGACCCAGGCAGGTGGCCCATGCCTGTAATCCCGAAACTGGGAGGCTGAGGTAGGGGGATTACTTGAGCCCAGGAGTTTGAGACCAGCCTAGGCAACATGGTGAAACCCCATCTCTACAAAAAAAATACAAAAATTAGCTGGGTGTGATGGCACGTGCCTGGAGTCCCAGCTACCAGCATGAGTGAGACCCTGTCTCAAAACAAACAAATGAACAAAAAAAACCTGATGTGGTCACTTAATTGCTATGGGGCCTGGAGCACATTATTTCCCTCCCTGACCCTCAGCTTCTGGCTCTCTGATTTGACCATCAACACAGCATTTACCCCCAAATAGCAATGATTAAGATGATGCATGTTAAATGCATAACATAGTAACTGCCTTGCATGGAGTGCTTGATAAATGTCTGCTGTTTTTATCTGATGAGCACATATAGCTTGTTGATAGTTAAAATGAAGAACAAATATAAAATGTCATTATGACAGGCTCATCTGTTAAGGCACCACAAATACTTTCTTCTTTCTCGTTTGCTAATTTGCACACATCCCAGCAGGGTTGGTGTTAAT